GGTATTAATCGCCCATCTATGTGTTGTTAAATTAAAAAATCCATTATAAATACAAAAAAATACAAAGAAAAAAAAAAAAAACTTAAACGAATTCAATTTCGTTAACGTGACTGTGCTAGCTTTGTGGGAGTCTCAGGAGTCTCGAGTTTGAGACCGACCACCACGAGCGGGTTTCAAGAACGTGCGTTGACTGCGCAGCTCCAATGCCAGGGTACCGAATTTGCTACTTGCCAGTCATCTAAAATCTAAGGGACGCTCAGGGAGTTGTGGAAGCATAAGGTGGATGCACCTACGATGGAGAGCTGATCCGCAAACTCAGGAGGATGAATGTACTTTCGAGTGAACTTCAAAACTATGGGTTTAAAAAAGCAATTATGCTCTTGTAAGTAGGTAATGATAAAAGTAAATATCAAAATATATAATGTGAGACTTTCCAACTTTATTTCATCCTAAATTGAGTCGTCATGTATGTGTATCGACTAAAATAGTTTTATTGCTGCAAAGCTATTGTAGAGCATATAATGAGATCTGAGAACAGTCAGTACTCACTTGAAATCTAACTCAAATAAGAGTTATAAAAAGGATTTTGAAAATAACAATTCATGATTTACATTTTATAATTATATAGATTAACTGAGACATGAAAAATACTGGAGTGTATTAAACTTTTATTCTACAATTCCTTCGGCCTATTTACCCGATACAGTATCTTTCTCTAGTTGAAGACGCTCTGGATTTTTGCAACAGATTTTTATCCAAAGCGATCGATCAAATTGAAAAAGTCAAGACACTATTCCGTGAAATTTTTACATTACTCATTTGAGAGAAGATTCATGTGATTCTTACAATCCGTGAGAGATGTGAGAATCACAGAAAGGACAATCAACTACTTTATAAAAATCAAGCCAAAGAGTTATCAGACTACCTAACCGGGCATGTAGGGAAAGGCGGGTGGTATGGGCCACCCTAGATTCACCAAGCTCTCATATTTTTTATTTAAGTACATTACTAATTATAACGGGTGACTCTTGAAGTGTAAAGTATGTGTCATGGAATTAAATTAAATTTAAGTGGAAGAAGNGCGGTTAGAGAAATCGAAGATACCTCAACTTTTATTTATTTATTAAAATGTAGAGATTCCAAAATAATATATAATAATATAGTGTAATTCTATACACACAATTTATCACGACTCAATTTATTTACCATTACACGTAATATGTGATAGTACTGGCGTAATCTATGTCAAACTATATCGATCAAAATAGGAAAAATCGGCGATAGCCGAAACTAGTAGCCAATCCCTGTTTTTTTTTTTCTAATCAGATCAAAAACGACGTTTAAAATTCATCAAGTACCCGCTCAGGCAACGCTCGAGCGGAAAACTGGTGCAAACTAGACGAGCCGATAATTATGCTCTGCCCGATGGGCCAAGAGCCTCGTGGGACCTTTCAAACAAATGAAACAAGTAGTTTGAAAAAAAAAGAGAAAGTGAGGGGAATCGAGTGTCGAGTGGACGAGCAAGATAGACAAAATCGAAGGGAGACAGTTTCAAACATGCCGTATTTGCTTAACGATAGAGATTAAATCGAATGAATTAGGATGACGAGGCTGGGGGGGGATGGGCGTGCACGAGGGTGTAGTACACACAGGTAGAAGCTCGACTGTGGCTGTGGCCAATGAGCTGGAAGAAAAGTGGCAGGGAGAGGGGGAGGGTGTAGTTTATCGGATCCGCGGGAGGCTTTGAAGGTCACTCAGACGGAAAGTTTTAAGGGAGTGACCTCGTTTTCGATTATAAATTCAGATTGATGGCCTTTTTTTGGCACGAGCGAATTTTTTTCTTTCCTCAGGTGTACGTATCTGAGGCTCGGTTGTGTGAAATTTTTGTTCCTGTTTCGCCGTGGTACAAGGTCATCCTCGACTTTGATCCCAAATTGTAAAACTTGGGCGATTTTCGGGAAATTAATGCTCTACTGAGTTATTAAAGTTCGGCTGATTCAAGTACATGATCCAACGTTTACTGTGTAAAATTACCTTGGTATTGAGGGGGTATTTTTTTACATGTCGCGTACACGGTAAGTCATAAATTTTGACGACGATGATTTCAATGGTATTAAAATTTTACGGCACCTATAAATTGCTAAATAAAAGTATAAGGTGTCGTGTGGTTTCAGCTGATGTATAATTTTATGGCACAACTTTTACATTATTTCTATAATGTACAGTTGAAATTTTGCAAGAAAACCTCAAATTATAAAAATTACTGATCTGGCATACGTTATGGAGAAATTTTCACATTTTATGAAGCTTTCCCGAGCTTTACGTGTATCGAAAGTATGGCAGATTTACATGAAAATGTAGACGGCAAGTACATTTTTTACAGTAACGATGGAGAATATGTCACTTTACATTTTTTCATAATGTATTCAAATCGAATTTCTTTTATGCACGACAGCTAAAGCCTGCTTTCAAGAGATTATTTTTACGTTGGATTCTTCGCTATTGTACAGCTTGCATAGTTTTTCTACAAGCCATAAAATTTTTTATTGACATTTGAGACGGCCGGTCGATAAAATTTTATCGATATGATTTTGTATTCATGTCCTGGTTACTCCTCAAATTAGTCGCAAATCTCAGTTCACAAGACTGAAGTCAAACAATTTCTTGAAATTTCACGATAGATCTTCTGTGCGAAACGTAGAATAAGAATTCGCATGAATAATACACAAAGAATTATCAAAGTTTAAAAAAGAACTTGCTAGTGTAAACATGATTTTGAAAACTTTCGGTTCGTTTTACCGAAAATCCAACATTGTTTAACATCTTGATTGAAATTTAAAACACTTTATGGTGTATTATTCATAAGCAGAACCAATGATGTGGGATGAAATTTTTTTTTTTAATACACCATCGTTCGCTTGGTCGTTCAAAAAGAGGAAAAGGTAAGCCAGTGTGAGTTCCATACAAAGGTAAAAAAAAGGTCCGAAAAACAACAGATGGAAAAAAATCAGAGAGAAATAGTGGAAGAGCTGGCGTGTTGGCGACGGCGAGCTATGAAAAACTCTGCAGTGAGAGAAAGGGATGGAAAAAAACATGTCACGTATCCGAAAAATTGAGGCGCGGAACATAAACTAGCGCGTTCGTGTACACGAGCGTGTACGGATGCTTAAAATAGAGAAAAGAAAACAGGAAGGGCAGAGGACAGGTGTCGAGAACGAGCGAAAATGATCGATCGCGAGTTTTTAGCGGTGCTTTTTTTTGGTGAGACAACGAAACAACACTCGGTAACATTAAAATCTTTTTCTTTTTCCCGTTAGCTGCCTGAATAATCCATTTTTCCCAGCGCTCCATGTGAGCGATGTGTGTAAATTGTTGGAACGCAATTTTCCATACTTTGTTCTTTTTTTTTTTTTTTTTTTTTTTTTTTTTTTTTTTTGGTCAGGCTGTCAGGTAAACTCGACGTGCATCAATTTTAAAATTCAATAACTTGATAAAAAACGTGTGTTTTAGCGAGAAAACATGTGCTGCACACAAAGGTTACGCGCGTATATGAATTCTTTTTTCATTAAAATAGTCTTTGAAAAGTAATATTTTCAATGCAATGGACGGTGGGAAATTCATTTTAAAGGTACACCAAATGTCCGCGAAAACGGTGGGTGCATGATAAAAAATTGTCCAAAACGAGGGAGCTATGGTTTGATGAATAATTTTATGAAATGAAAAAACTGCGTTAGGGGGAAAATTAATACTCCGTTCCAATTTTAGTGCACAAAATGCGATATTGAATGGAACGCGGAATTGAATTTTGCAAGAAACAAGTACACGCAATTTTAAGTAAAGAATCGTGTCGGATAAAAAGTACAGTTCGAGGGTTCTGGTGAAGGGTTGAAAAGAAAAATGTACGTTTCTTGAATCGATTAGAAATTTTTAATTGGAATCTGTTGTAAGCATCGAGCAAAACATGTAACAGTTACCAAAGCCGGTTATACAACGAAAAAAAGCTCGAATAAAAAAATAACAAGGGATACTCGACAAAACATGGATAAAGTATTAAAGTTGCAACGTGGACAAAATAGAAGTAATAATAGTTTTGATTGTCGTTCATAAAGAACATCCTTCCCGAGTTCTAAAGGCTTCCCAACTTTGCTTTTTTCCATCATTACGACCCCTATAATACGTACAAAGAAAGGACGACAATTTTTTTTTTCCTTCTCCTTCACTTTGTTCAGCTCTAATGTGTAAATCGAGCAAATTGCCTTCGCTCGATGAAGACCTCCCGTGCGCTTTTTCCCAAGTCTCACCGAGTCATTATCACTGTCATTAGGTTATTTGTCGAAGCTACTAAATTTTTTTATTCTTTCCATCCCCCTCGTTGTCGATATTACTTGGGTTTTATTTTTTTCAAGCGTCTGGGTTCCCTAATTCCAATATATTTATACTTCAGTGGGGCAGTGTTTTTAAAACGCTGTTTTATCGCGATTAAAGGGGTGCTCAAATTTCTTCCTGATTAATTCTGTAACAAGGCCTGTCAAGTGGTTGATATAATTTTTGTACTACTTTGTGTTTTCATCGGAAGTCTTTTTTCCCTTAACTACTCAGTACTTAATAAAATTGTTGTCAGCTGAGAGGAAAAAAAATTAAAAATCATTGTTTAAATATTTGCTAGAAAATTTCATTATAAATTTGATGTGTTTTTGGCAATATTTTTAGCTAGAAAATGTTTGGCTAAATAGTGTATAGTTACAGAAATGTTTGAAAATCTATATGAAGTGTGGATTTGTTTAAATCGAACGAACGCTCGACGCATATCAGGGATTACGATTAATTTGTCTGTCCAACATGTAAAAAAACGCATTAAACAGGCCAAAAACCCAATAATCAAAGGTGCATTGCGACGCAAAAACGTGGTCTTGGCAAAAAAAAGGAGCACTCGACGTCAACCGAGTTCCCCGACGCGTGGATGAATAGCAAATAAAAGAAGCAACGCTGCTTCGACTCACCTCATCTCGAAGTCATGGTACTCCTGCAGCGTCAGCGAATTCGCGACGTCGAGGAGTTGCCTCATGTTCTCCTCGCGCCTCTTGGCATCGGGATCAGCGGGCCTCAGCAGAATCGTCGCCGCGGGTGCGTCCAGGGACAGAGACGGCTGCTGCACGACAATCGTCGCCTGGGCCGTTCTCTTGCCACCAGCTGCATTTCCACCTGGTGATGCGTCGTTCGTTAAAAAAAAAAAAAAAAGAAGAAGAAAAAGAGGACAAGGTTGGAGAGGAAAGTTGAGGTTGGGTGTGGGGTTGATTAAGTTCGTTAGCGATGCTTTACTGTAGATTGCAGAGTTTGTTTGTTTGTTTGTTTGTTTATCTGTTTTTTAGATGTACGAGTTCGCGAGATATATAGGCACACAGAAATAAGAGACAGAAGCGGAGAGCAGTGGAGGCATCGGCCTTGCGAGCGAGCGATCGCTGGCTGCAGTTCGTTGGATTCGCGTGCCGATAAGGTCTTGCGCGGCTCGCGTGTGTATTATACGAGGGAAGCCTGTGCGACTTCCTTGTGCTTTTTTGTTGTACATTCGAGTTTCAGCTCGAGGAAAGGGCCTTGGTTGGTACGAAAGACGACGCGGAAAGCAGCTCACCTCGCTTGGGCTGGGCCGATGTCATGGGTCTAAATGTACATGTCATATGTGTATGTGTATGCAAGTTTCGTGCACATATAGTACGTTATTTTGTTTTCACGCATGTGCAAGACACGCGTGCGCGTGGAGTTTATTGAATTCGAATGTTTTGCCTCTCCTGTTGTGCCCCACACACGTGTGTCTTTGTGTGTTCGATGTGTACGTATGATATACAAGCGTGTATTTGTTTTTGAGAAAAGCCTTGGTTTTTTTTTTGTTTATTTTCAGTTACTTGCCATGTCTTTGGCATCGCATTTGCTGCCCTTTAAAACTTGTTTGATCAACAAACAAGGTAGAGTGCACCTACGGGCAAACTCAAACATTTTTTGATGGAATTTTTTTTTTCACACGTACAACTCGCATCAACGAGATTTAAATTATGTCCATCAAAGGAAACGCATTCAATCGTGCAATATGTTAATCTCCGACTTACAAAATGTTACAAGCAGATGCTATTGAGAAAATTTATTTACAAACGTTTAATAGTCTGTGGTAGTAACAAGTGAGCTTTTAACGTGGAAGTAAAGAATGATGCGAATGCAAATAGAGTACGCTGTAATGATAGTTTTATTTACAGATGTTGGGATAACTTTTAAAATCCATTTGAACGTAGAGTTCATGTGAATACTATATAGTGATGTACATAATTACATTTAAAATACATTAATACATTCCAAATCAATAATACTCCTGCTTCAATGAATAAAATTCGCTTTGTAAAAGCAATTATTTTATTTTTTTCAACAAGAATGTTTTCTGATACTATTTAATTGTACGTTGTTGATGATGTGTTTGCTCGTGTATGGCGAAATGATGAAATGTGTATGTAGTTTTTGTAATACTCTTTTTTGTTCTAAAAAATATAATATCAGCCAATTCATTGTACAGTATAATGTATGGAACAAATAAAAAGCTAGAGAACTACTTTGCGAAAAATTGCCATTCTCTAATACAAAAAAAAGTCCACTAATGAAGAGAACAAAGCGTGTTCGTTAGATAAAACCACGTGTTGGCACGTAAAAATTAATTTTTTCTTATGCCAGTAATATAGTCACAATAATTATATAGAGTGCACACAACGAATGCCACTGCCTTCGAGTAATACAAACTTTTTTTTTCTTTATTTTACAGCGGTGCATGTACCATGTATTACAGATCGAGGAAATTCATTAATTTTCGATCTTTCCGAATCGATCCTCTCGTATATTTTTTACTAAGAAAAGCAAAGAAAAGGCTGTTTTAGAGGTTCGGATGGGTGATTTATGTTTCATTTTTTTTTTTTCTTTTTTTTGAAAGCTAAGGAAAATCACAAAAATTTTGCAACAACAACAAAAACACGTGCAAAAAAAAGCCGCTCGACACGTGCAAGGTATCCAAACGAGAGTACCAGCATCAAAACGTCACTTTTTCCAGTTAACTTGAAGAGAGCAGCACACAAAAAGAGCCGAATACGCTATACAGAAGATAGATCCGACATTTCGTCAAAGCAAAAGCAGGGTCAAGCCAACCACCCATACACACACACACTCACGCTCTCGTGCATTCGCATTGGGTACATCGTTTTTCGCTCCATTTTGTCGTTTTGCTGCGCAAAAAGAAAAGGCAAAGTGTGCGCAACGAAGGAGAAACTGAAACTGCGGAGCCCAAACGAAATTTTAAAAACAAAGGACGATGCGCGTGCACAAGGCAGCGAGTCTTGGAAAATAGGATGCAGAAACAGGATGGGTAAATAAAAACTAAAGGGTGAACACGTTCTGTTCAACGCTAATGCGAGTGCATGCGAAAAGCTGCAGGTAAATTGGACCGCACGCGCGACCGCACATGTATACACGATGTGTTTTCCTGTGTAGAAGAGGAGAGGACTTTGAGTATGTAGCTGTATGTCACGTTGTGTGAATGCTGATTAAAAGAGAAGTCATGTGAATATGGAGGGTACTTGAACATTTTTTCTTTTTTTTTTTATGTATAATCACCTTTTTTCATAAAAGCAGGTACGCGCGTGAAAAACGATAGAGTTTTCAAAAGCTTTGCTCATCTCACATTGATTTTTCCGTGGATTACAGTATGGAGTGTAATCTGATAAAGAGCTCAGTGCTTTTTTCCACTTTTTTAGACTAAATACAGCTAGCGAAAACCACTGGAGCTTTTTATTTCGAAATTTTTTTTTCATAAAATTGAATTATTTTCGAGCTACGTGGAAACAACGGAATAACGAGGTAGTGATCGATATAAAATATTAAACTATGGAAAAGAGTTACTTTTGTTGATTCAAGTTGTATTCATAATTTCGGTTTTAATCAATAACTTTTGTTATTCGAAAAAATCGCGTCTGACCAAAATCGAGTAGTTCTACTTGAAACGAGATAATGCGCTTGTCTGCGATGCTTACATTTTAATTTTTGATAGGTCCATAATTATTTCAGTAAGAATGAATTAAGTACAGAAAAAAATGTAGACTTGGTGATGGATAATAAATTTACCAAACATATATGAATTATCCAGCCCATCGCAATGTCCCGAACGATTATGGAAAAACCGCGTCTGACCAAAATCGAGTATTTTCACTTAAACCGAGATAATACACTTGTCTGTGATACTTACATTTCAATTTTTGCTATGTCTGCAGTTATTTCAGTAAAAATGAATCACGACACAAAATTTAGACTAGGTGGTAGATAATAAATTTACCAAACATGTATGAATTATCCAGCGTATCGTAATGTCATGAACGATTATCGAAAAACCGTAAAAAACTGATGCACATTATCTTAAACCAAATTAGTAAAGCTGATTCGCACTGACTCACTTTTAACAATTTCAATCAACAAATATTTATTGCAAATCAGATTAATTTTACTCATTGAGTCTGGGACAACGTACATTTTGTTCATGAATAAAATAAATGAATCATGAAGCCATCGATGGCTGGAAAACGATAATTAGAAAAAAGCTAATGCAACAACGCACTAAGTAATAAAAAGCAATTGTTTTACTAAAAGAAAAAAATAAAATGTTAGCCGAAAGGAAGAGCCAAGAAAGTTAAGAGCAACGAAAGGAAAAGAAAGGAAAGACATAGTATGAGGTGAGAGCAGTGTATGTGTAGGTATGTATCTAAGCGTAAAATAGAAAGAAGCTGTACACGTGTACGGCACGAGGAACGATGCGGCTGCGTTGTGGGGCAAAGAGATGGCAATCAACTTTTTTTCCTCCGTCCAATCTTCCTCTGTTTTCTCCACCGAAGTAAATCTAGAAAAGCAAACGCGTCGTCCCTCGTCAGCAGAAGCAAACGCGAAAAACACAAGAAAGCTCATACGTACATACACGAGTACACATTTATAGGGCCACTTATACACACGTGTATATACATATGCTTGATAAGGCAATCACTATTTGCACTTTACTCGAGTCATTCGTTCGAACGTACGATTAGCCCGCGAGCCTAAGAGGCCCCCCGAGATATTGGGACCGGAAGCGTGCAAACATAAAAAAAGCAACACGAGGCCATCATCGCCAGTCCGAACAAAGAGTTTTTTTTTTCTTTCCGCTTGTTAGTGAGAAGGGAGGCCTCTTAGCGACGCTTGATATATGTACCTATTGCGCAAAACGGGAAAAAGAGCCTGACCCATGAATGAATGGTCGAAACAAGGGGATGAGATTCTGAAAGAAAGAACACCAATTCATTTCCTTACGGCACTGTTTTTTCTTTGTTTTTTTTTTGTTTTTTGCTATATTTTTTTATATTTATTTTATTTGGCTGATAATAATATTATTAACATTTCTTTAATCATGATAATGAAGAAATGTAGATTTTATCTTTAATTATTACTAGTTTGAATATTATTGAAAATGTAGACGAGAACACGTTGTATTTCTTCATTATTGTTTTTATTTTTTTTAACTTTATTTATTAAACTTAATGATTGGTAAGCAAAATAAACTGAATTATACAGTTATATATTTTAATAGAGCAATACACAGGCAGGACTGAAAAAAATTTATTTAAATACTTCGTTTAATTGAAAAATAGACACCCCACACTTACTACAAAACTTACAATTAGTGCATTCCCATTTGGCAAAAAAATGAAAATAAGTCTTTTGTCATGATTATGAAGTTGATGTCAAGTCTAACGTCATGGCTTCTATAATTTAAACATCTTAATTCTTAAATTTTTTGTCTCACCAACTTTCTTTAGTACAACTATAGCCTTCATATTATTATTTTATTATGTCACTGTAATAGTCACCAGTAAGTTACAAGCATTTAAAAAATTGGACGAAATCTAATATCTCTTACAATGATTCGTCGAATACAGTTTTAAATTAATCACAATTCAAAAAGAGTTAAGGCAAAAATAAGTCTTGTAGAGATACCAGGCAAAAAAACCTTCTTTAAATTTTATTTTAATGAAGATCTCTTCCAACATAATGGAAAGAAAAGAAAAATGTACAAAAACGAGAAATATGCCTACATAAAAACTGCTTACGTACGGATGAATAAACCATAAAAGCCTGTCATTTCATTCATTCAACCTACTGAAGTTTAAAGCTTGAATCATTAAACCAGAAATAACAGTTAGGAAAAATAAGTTGTCATTGAAACCTCTCACTGGGCTACACAATTTCGTTGATTAAATAATCATTTTTTCTATCGTGTAAATCACTCACGATAAATTCTCATGACAAAATGTAATTGTAGAGAATTGAAAAAAATTGTGGTTGATAAGTAAGTAATACCTAATACATACTTTTTAACATAAAAAGTACTAGTTTTAGTACTGTAGCTACTTTCTTTCAAAAACTTAGTAATTGAAAAAATTAAATAATTTCCTGATGAACTTTTTAACATAAAAAGACTCTCTTTTGCTACAAAATAAAAATAGGCTGATGTCTCGGTAAGATTATTTTTCGCACTGAACCATGAAAAGGATAATAAGTCATATTATGACATAGTTAAAATAAAAATTAATTTCGTCTATATTTTTCAAACTTAGGATAAATTATTAGTTTGTAAATGTATAAAAAATGCAATAATTACTTAAAATAGCTGAAAAAAATTGCATATTGCAGGCCTTGCACATCCGTGTATATACGTAAGGTAATATATAGTAAGGGGAGATGGCCCAAAGCGGAAAATCTAACACTGATGATCTAAAAGTATTTTCTTTTATTTCATTATGATAACAAATTCAATTTTATTCCGTAAAAGAGTTACCGAACTTTAAAATAAAACAATAACGTCATATTATTTTGCAGCACATACCGATTTACTACCGAAAATTTAAGGCTCTCAAAGATCCGACTTTCCTGGATACGAGATAAGTTGATTGGGAAGTAAATCAGCAGTTTTAATTTCTTTCATTGCAACTGAAAACGTCACCTGACACCAGGATGCCACTTTTTCATTTTTATTTTTTTATATTCCTATACTATTTCAAATCATACAAAAACCTAAGTACAAAACTATTATACTCTATTTGACTAACCCGTTTGTCCCCTAGCATATTTCATGACCCAAAATTATTGAAAAATACACTAGTTTTATTTTGTGTTTGTGTTAGACGGTACCAATGTAACGTGATACTATTAAAAATAAAAGTTTTGAACTAAGTAAGATTTTCTAGAAATCCTAAAAATTTTTATAGTATCCTCGGTCACGCCACTTGACGACTCTGGCGCCCGATCGTAAAAGATCAAAACTCGGGAGTAATCTCGTCGTACGCACGTATTGCCAATCACGTTTCGTCCGACAGCACATCAGCGCTTACCCAATTCGGGCCACCTCCTCCTACACCACAAACATCAGCCACAACGCTACTATCAGAAACGTTCATCAGAATCAAAGCTGAAACAAAAAAAAGGACCTCCTTCCCTCCAAAAAAAGAGAACAGTGACCAAAGAGCCTATCGAGCAGATCGCCAATGACATACGTGCTCAACGAGACAAAACAAACAACAAGAAAAGAAAAAAAAAAAACAAACTCACCAGTCGGTCTCCCTCGTCCTCTGCCAGCTCCTCCAACGCCGAAGCCAGTCCCAGTGGTACCGCCACTCGAGCCATTTCCGTTCACCGTCCCGTTGGCGCACAGCGATATGTCGAGCGGATTAGTAGTTACGTTGATGTTCGGCTTGGCGTTGGCCAAAGTCGGACTCCTCGAACCCGAGGACGCCTGCTTGGTGTCCACCGGACTGCCGGCGTTTGATCCAGCGTTTCCGTTGCACTGGGCCGGCTGGACTCCCACTATGACGGTCTGGGGCTCGAGAGGCTTAGCCAGTGACGACGGTGGCGAGGCTCGCTGTTTCTCCTTGGCCGCTACCAGTGCCAACATCGAGCTTATCTGTTGGGGGTCCGGCTGGCCGGCGTCCACCGAGCCCCGCACTGGCTGGCTGTGGGTCATTTTTTTTTTTTTTTTTTTTTTTTTCGTTTCCAGTAAAACAGTGTGCTTAGCTGTCTGTGATGGGAGTGAGAAGTTTCGTTGCAAGTACGTGTCGCATTAATCATTCGGAAACATAATATGGGAATCGACGTGCGCGTGACTGCTTCTTTTTTCCCTCCTGTGACTATATACCAATTTTAAGTTTACGCTCGCACCCATGTGTCACCTAGGCATGTGCGCGGAAAAAGTATTGCCCCTTGGCTTCGTGACGCTATGCGCCACTTGTACGGGCGAGTGATATATGGGAGACACTGCTGGGATGTGAGTATGGACGATGTCTATGGCAACACTCTTGCAGTGGCCTAGTGAGTTTTGCGTGTTAATAGGAAAAAGGAGATGGGGGGGAAAAAAAGTTGTAAAAACATCACGGATCCTTATAATTAATAGACCAAGACAATGTGGACGGCCAAACGGAAGCTCCGGCCTCGATTTGAATAATAATAATGGCAGAGCGATGAAAGTACCGAGTCACTCGAGTACTACCACTTTTGTGGTGGGATGAAAAAAAAGAAAAAAGTGTCGCACTTCAGTAGGGCTCGACGATCGATCGATTTGGTTTTAAGATTATTGAAAATATTCTCGGAATCCCGTTTTGCGTACGTACGAACTGGATAACCCACTTTTCGCGATAATGGAATATTACTCAATCACGGATGCCCTTCGTCGTAAAAATAAGACCCCCCGCGAGAAAATTTTAAATTTCAATCGCGGGAATACGTAATCTGCCAAACCCCGCGAGAAGAAGAAGAAGTTTATACGTATATGTATACCCTCGTATTGAATTGTGAAACGCGGTCTGTGCCACTTTTTAAGAGGCTCGTGCTTGAAATCGTGGAGAAGAAGAGAAAATCGAATTTTCCAGCAGTGTATTAAACACACAAAGGAGATAGTGCCGCGGTGCTCTCGTCGCGCACAATGAGTGCAATTCGACAACTCGTCACCTACTTATACTTCGTTACTTTACATTATACATTTTTCTTTCAGGCTCAAGAAGCGAATTTATCGATTGCGTGGCTGGAGAAACGGAGGAGCCTGAGAAGGGGAGTAGGCGAGCTGCTGCCCCTCTTTCTTATCTTTTACTTCTTTTTTGCGTAGGCAGTTCTTTTTAGCTTTTCCAGGAGACTCGGGACGAATGTTTTTGTCAGAGTTTGTATTCAAATAGGCGCACTCGTCGCTGTGAATGGGGATTTCCCATCCGACGGAAGGACGGGATTATCGTGATACGCAGTAATGAAAGAGCATAATTTTTTTTTCTCTCGTTCTTTTGTGTGAGTATTTTTTTTTCTTTTTCGTGCTAATAGAGACCATAATGGGGATACTTGCTCGAGTAATTTACAGCTCGTAAGAATTACACGCTGTATTGTGAGGTATTGTGTAATATCTTGTTAATGTACAAGAAAGCACCAAAGTTATTTATTGTACAGGAGATCGGATGAGAAAGTCGGGATGAAAAAAAAAGCAATAAAATATTCTGGTCTCTTGTACGTTATTCTCAAAATTTTATCTAGTGTGTCACGTATTTTACGATGATATTATACCTGTTACTTTATCACGAAGATACCTTACTTGTTTCTGTGAGTTGGGAAAGAAAATGAATGATCATATTCAAGCAATCTTGAGTAAAGAAAGAAACCATGATTGCATAACGCATACAAAATTTTCTTATTTAGCAGAGGAAACTTAAAGAGTACACGAAAAAATCCATGCTCATTTCTTTCATATCAACAAATGTATATTATTTTTAGATCCAACCTGAAAAAAAGTCTAAAATCGTATTTCATATTTAATTTTAAAATAATTACTCTTTATATCTTGGACATTAGAGATATATTCAAACGCATAATGTGGTCAGACAGTAAGTGATTTGAATTAAAGTTTCAAGCTTTTTTTGAAACTGCATTTTATGTTTAATGAATACCTGTTTTTCAAAGAATAATTAAAAAATCGTGTCTGACTAAAAGCGAGATTTTCCACTTGAAAATAAGTAAGGCGATTTTTTTCCCAATCATTTGATTAAACTTTTGTTTCAATACACGGTTTTTTTTTATTTAAAGTTTGATGGATGTACATACAAAATTTTATTGATACAACAATCAATTTAATGTTTTTAAATAACTACTATTGTTAATTTAGGTACTTTTGAAACCCCTGTTTACTTTCAATAAATAAATTTTTTTGAGAGGATGATCAACGAATTGCGTCTGACCAAAATCAAGGTTTTCTACTTAAAACGAGATTACACGATTTTCGTTGTGAATCATTCATTTATAATTTTTTTTTATGAAGTTAATTTAGTTTTAGAAACTGTTGTTAATCAAAGGACTTTTAAGACCTATATTTTGTGTTTAATGTATAATTCCTGTTTGGGAAATTATCAACAGGCTGCGTCTGACCAAAACCAAGGTTTTCTACTTAAAGTGAGATAGCATGATTTTCTTTGCGAGTCATACTGTGGGTTATACTTAGAAGACGAGGACATACAAGTGACCGTAAAACTACACAGAGAGGGATAATGCAAGATAATACAAAGAAGGGTCCCCCAAAAATCCATACGATCCATGCGACGGCAACGATCTCGTAACTTTGGGGCCCAGAGTGCCAGGATATTCATTAAAAAACTTACCTAAAGAAGTCAGCAGCCCTGAGATCCGGCAGCGCGGGTTTTGGTCTACTGATTTCCAACCCCGGAAAAGTGAACCTCGACTCTTGGTGCGGTCCGATCATCGGCGTGGGTGGTGGCGCGCCCGGACTGTTCGTACCGCCGACGCAAAGGTTCGTCATCGATATCATCGGCACCGCTGTTGTCGGGCCATTGGCGTGACCGTTGTGAAGCGCGGTCGGCGAAACATTCGCCGACGACGATAACCCGTTCATCTGTAAATGCGAGCCAGTTGTAATGACAAAGATATCACGGGAAGTCGAGATGCCAACGACATTTGTCACAGCTGTATTCACAGTAGCATCTGTTTATGCTTATTTTTGAATTTCAAAGCTCATTTTGTGTTTATTTTTCTACAATTTGAATACTTTTAATCGATTTTATCGGCTTATTGTTAATATCCAGTGTGGTCTATCATCAAGTACGCATATCCAAAGCTTGCAGTACATTCTTATATCGATGCTTGAGATACAAAAGGTACCATTTAATTTTTTTGAGGTAGATGAAGTATTTATAAAGCAAATCTCAAGTTGATAAGCTTCCCTCTAACAAAATGGTATCTTTTTCTTCTCTTACGTGTCGATGTCACCAACAGCCCATAACTGACCTGGGCAGCACACTCAATGGGCCTAGCTGGCAGCTGGGCGTTCATGGTCTGTGAGTTCGTGGTGCCAGACTGAGGCGTGGGTGGCGAGGAAGACTGCCTCCTCTGCTTTTGCTGCTGAAGTGGCGGTGGCGACGTCGAGTTCACAGCAGAGGCAGTTGCAGTGGCCGTTGCAGCAGTGACGATAGCAGTAATGGCTGATACACCGTTGCTATGTCCTGTTGTTGGCTGTTGCTGCTGCTGCTGCTGCTGGTGATTATAATGATGTTGGTGCGGGTGAAATGACGATGACGAGGTCACGGGTGGAGGTGAGAACTCAGGATGCACGTCCATAAGATCCAGGCTGTCGTCGTGTTGCTCACTGTCCGTTGTGTTTACCTGGGGACGAATGAGGATGTTTCTTTCTCTTTTAGATTGATGATCCTGGTAATTTTCGTCCATTTTCGGTCAAACTTAGTTCGTACATACATTATGAAGACTTTAATGGCTGCCAATGTGTCTTGTCATTTTATTCAATCTTAATTTCTTTAATACTTTGTATTAACACTAAATATTTTCAAATTAAAGTTGGTTCGTAATTTAACTACTACTTATTAGTCATTTTGTTAATTTTTGTGCAGAAGCAAACTTTTGTGTGGAAAAAAAAGCCAAAGAAAATCGATACAAACTGAAAACTAATTTTTTTTTTTATTAATTGTAGCACATGAAAATTCCTTTAAATAAAACCTGTGTATTTTCACTCCCCAAATATAAGAGTTTTAGGTCACAATTGCTGTTGTACGTGTTTTAGAATACCAATGCACGAAAAATTATTTTTGTAGAGTAATAAAGTTAAAAGTCTTCAATTTTATGTATTTCTTAACAAGGATGATATTTCGATCCTTTTGCATTCACTTTCATAAAAATATAAATCTCAAAAATGTATGCTCAAAAATTGTTCAGAACGAAAATGTTTAGGATATGTCAAACAAAACAATAACAAAAAAGGGTCTAAAACCAACCAGCGTGATGAGCGTGGTCTGACTGTCGGTGCTGGTGTTGATGGTCGTCTCCGAGGCAGTACTCGAGTCCCGAATGATGAGCTTGGGAACATTGTTCCTGTTACCACTCGACTTGGTAAAGTGAAAGCGACGCTGTAGCGCCGAAGCGGCGTTAGCCAGGAAGTCGTTGTCCCGCAGACCCGCGTGGCTGTTGCGGTGCTCGCGCGACGATGAGGACGCGGTAGCCGTCATTGCGTTGGCTGGTGGGTGACTCGGGTCACCCGGTGGCCTGCCGTTACCCTTGCAGGCAGGACTTCCCTTGACGGGAGACCCTCGGTACTCCGGGCATCCCTGCGGAAATAAAGATTTCGTCCGTTTTATTTTTTTTTGTTTTTACTTTGACTCGTCGATATTATAAGATAGAACGGGGTCTTTCGAAGGACGAGTGAAGGAAATGTATCATTTATTAATCATCCCCGAGCACGTAGCAGCTGGGCCGGATGGAAATGAGGTCGTTTCGGGCTTAACTCGCCGGAAGATTGCTGCAGGTCCCCTTGCATATATTGCCGGAGTTTACCCGTAGTTTGCATGATGCATATGTACCGCAAGTTTTGGTGCTCTGATAAGCTTATTAATTTATCACTTGGAGTATGTTGTATCGGGAAATCCGGATTTTCTTTTTAGCAGTAAAAGTGGATGGAAATTTCCCTGGTGCCTCAAGTTGCTTTCTACGAGGGGCTGCTCATACTGTCCGAACCAGTGACAAAAGACTTTCAAATCATTGACAGTCTTTTGAAGTCTCTGAAAGTTTCTAAGATACCATAAAAGTCTTTGAAACCCTTCAAAGTCACGATGACACTTTGATGACTTTTACAATTATTCAAAGTTATCTAAGCTCCCATAAAGTCTTGGAAACATTTTGTAAGTTTCACTGGAACTTTGACGTACTCAGCTCCTCTGCTACTCACAAAGAACTCCCTGGTTGGGGATAAAATATCTTTGGATAAATGCAACTGTATATTTCGCGAACGATAACGATTGATTATCCCGTTTTATGACGATCCCGGCGTGGCACTAATCGCCCGATATCCATAACTTTGATTTCACAGTGGGTGGAGGAAACGATATCTGACTAGTGGAATTGATTTAGCATAATCATGGATCCGCACGATGAATATGTTGATTTTCTATGGCTCTGTTAATTATTATGGATGAAGAGAAATTCGATTTTATAAATACAATAGGTCGTTTCATCGAGTGCTAGTAAAAGCTCTTTCTATTTGCATACATTTCAAGGAAAATGAACATTTTAATGTCACCGATAACAACAGAAAATTGGTATTTTCAAGAGACAAAGTCTCTTTTATTTTAACCTGGGCGAGTCTAACAACAGTTGCCCGCAAAAGCTTCCGGTGGGGAATCATAAAAAATTCGATCATAACCAAGTATTATTTATTCATCCATTTCTTTCCGTTTACAACGGAAGTGCTAAATCAATAATCATCCGTAGACGTATAAAAGATGCACGACTCTGATGTACATTGACTTCCACGCGGATTTTTGATCAATTCAAACGATACACCTACCCAACGAGATCGAAAGATTTCACTAGCGGCCCTCGAAAATGGAAGTACAAAAGGCCATCGATTGCCTTAGAAATTCCAATCGTCCAAATAAGCGCCTCTATACCGCCGCGAAAGCTACGTACAGCGGCAGCTGATGCAAATCTCACGCGCATGAATATGCTAACTTGCCTCTCGTGGCTTAAAAATAAAATCCTCTGCATCTTCTCTCCGATCGATAACACACTCACTTTCCTCTCCTTTGTTCCCCTCAATCGTTGGTCGAGCGCCCGAGAGCCGGCATCAACGTGAGACGCATTAAAATAAAAAAAATAAAAAATAATAACAATAATAGTAGTAATAAAAAGAAGGTGGAGGAAAAGAGTACGTTGGCACACGATGGCACGGCGATCGATTGACGAGGCGGAACAAGCCTACACACACACACACACACACGTAGAGCAACGTAGGCCTGCTTTGCTGGCCGTCGTCGTCGGTGCGAGCGAGCGAACAAGCTAGTGCAATCTAGGTCACTATCTCTTCCCCTCCGCTTTACAAAGCACACACACACATGCTAGCGGTGTCTTACCTATATACTCCGTATATATACTTCTACCTCCCCATTCGCTTTTTTTTTCTCCCTTCTTTTTCTTTGTACACAGACAGTGAGAAATTGTGTTGGTTAGTAAGTAAGTATATTCCTATACGAAGCGCCGGCGCAATTACACGTATACCCCACCTGCACACATCCTTGAAACAAGAGCAAGGCCTTAGGCTCGAAAATATATATGTATATATATATATATATATAGAAATAAGTTGTTGGCGCGACATCCGCTCGCGACAAGGGTGGAGAATGCCTCCTCTTGGATTCGCGAATATTTTTCAAACTTGGTGCCTTTGCTGGGCTCTTTTTTTTCGCTCATCGACCAAAAAGGCTGGCTCGTGTTTATTTCTGCCACTCTTGGGTGTTCTAGAGTCAGAGGTGTCTTTTTTTTGGGGGGGGGGGAGGAGGATGAAGGTTTTTAGGGTGTGACAAATTTACACCTGAGCTGTTATTATGGCTGATCGACTCGCGAGTCGTTTCAGGGAAAAATTTGGTTTGATTCAAGGATTAGGAAAACCTTTCGCACGGGAGATCCGGAAAATCAGATGTAGGGGATGCGATACCGCGGAGGAGCTCCGATCGATGCTCCACGAGGTACGATCGACAAGTCTGTGCGTGATTAGACTCGATTAGGCTATCAAGACCTTGGCTGTTCGTCTTGTATTGATTACGTTTAAATGCTGATTTGAGCCGACGGTACGTGTTATTGGACTCGTCAGAGGTGAATCCCAGTAGTTTGGCGCGACCGATCGAGAGTTCATGGTTGTTGGAAAGCGTTATTTTTCTCGGCCGAAAATTTATTTCCACGGCATATCGTGTGTGAGTGCGAAATAATCAAAGAGCATGGTTGTGCTAAAATAAAAGTAAAAGCTGTACATCCGTTTGGAGGGCTATTGATTGCCAAATCTTTTTTTTTCTGGTACATTCGATACAACGTGGAACAATAATGAGAGGGTTTTGCAAAAGCTTGCTAATCCTCAATTGGCGCGGTGAGCTATTGTCTGTAACGAACAAAAGATAATAAATTCGATATCCACAAGACTACCTCGCAAGGCATCTTTTGTTTCCAGAAAATTAATCATTCCACGATTACAATTGGCAAATGGTGATGGTCACATTTTTTCATTTTTTATTGCGCAGTTACACTATTGTCTGGTAATTTTTAATCCATGACATGTGTTACGAAAGTACTTGTACTCTGGAATGAAAGCCATGAAACAAAGTTTTCCTGTCGGGGAATAAATGAATAATGTAAGTCAGACCATCGTCGTTGACTCTTTAAGCTATACTTGCTCATTAAACTATCGACCAACGAAAGAACTCTGACGTTGGGCTCGACCGAGTTGCTTTTGAAGTACTATTTCCACACGCGAGAATGTCATCCACCAAATATTACGATTAATTTTTTTTAAAGACTCACAATCATGTGCCATTGACAATAGTAGAGGACGTTTCAGAGCTATGTGGGATCTACATTTGTCATGATTTTCAATTATTATCTACTTTTGGCTCTTGGCTCTTCGAGAACTATAGGCATTGTCGGCGCTGGTGCAAACACACCACGCGCACAATGGCAATTCGGGGACAAAGATTCGAGACGTCGTAGCAGCTATACTGAGCTGCCGTCGTCATCACAAACGTGTTCGGATGGAGGTACAACAATTACCCTGCCAGCTGCAGATTAATCACCAGGCCGGCCAATTAAGAAGTAATGATTGGCGCGCTTCTCTGCGTACGTGTAACAGTGACCGATATGTGCAGCACGCGTATAGCTGTTGCCTGGAATCCCGTGCAACGTCATCTAAGTATTGCCATAGTCTCGTGATACATTGGCTCGAGCTTTATACCATTATTCTCGAAACTCGGAAGCTCTCTCCCTGTGTTTGTATATCTGTCAATGTGCATGGGTGAATTTGCTACATACGCGAGTGTGCGTTTTGCACGAATTCGGTGAATTGAGCCAGGGAGGAATTACAAGATACGCGCCCGTTTGGTGGTTGGCGTGTTAATGTGGGCTTTGGTTTGTAATATCGTGACTCTCGTGTAGTTTACGCGCTACAGCAGATTATTTTCTGGTACGCAGAAGTTGTTGTTTGGTTGTTCAGACTTGAGTTTACTGAAACATTTTGATTTGCCGTAATTAATATACAGCAGTTTGATCAAGAAATGCCATGTTTCTTATAAATTTGTTTTTCTAGAAATATGCCATGTTACTTGTGAATATTGGTATATGGATTATTTGAATTGGATACAATTGCTCGAAGGGATTTTTGTAATTTGGAATGTACAAGGGATTAACTTTGTCGTACGATCAACAAGAAGAGTTAAATTCATTAAAAATATTATTAAAACGTTCTAACATGTTTGCTTATGAATAACGACAGCTAACAGACCACACTTTGTGGAGTACAAATCACACGACAAACGAAATGTCCCAACAATTTTAGTTGAACTTATTTGATGCTGGAAAAAATTTTTTCACTCAACTTGTAAGATATTGTTATTTTGCATATATTTAATTCTCAAGGCATAAGTTACGGATCTCCTCAAAGCATTCTACGCGCATTCTTAGCGAGAAGAAAAAAAAAGGAAAGTCAATAAGAAAAATACAGCCACTATGGCGAAACTTGATCGTTTGTCGGGAGCAACAAATACGTTGGGGATGACTCACGTGCCATAAACACTTGGCCGCAAGTACCTCGTGCTTCAGTGACAGCGTGGAATTTTCATGCTCCAGGACGAGCTTGTACCCGCGACCACGTAATCTCATCCAGCTCGACGATGATGACAACAACGATAATGATTCATGGTAAGAAAGGGGGGGGAAGCTCGAAAGCATAGTCAAGTGGATGGGGAATTGTAGACCTTGGGATGAGCTTTGAGAACGAAATTAGCTTAATTAACATCCTAGGCGGGCATAAAATTATACACCCTGTCGTTGACGTTGAGGGTTCAGACTTCCTGTTATGAGAGGTAATTGAAATTTTTCAGGTGAACAGCATTGAGGTTAACGAGGATTGTGGAAGTAGGTGCACCTTACACAAAGTGTATTTTGATTGTTGTTGTTGTTGTTGTTTTAACGTGGTTCATAAATTGTGTAAGTACGATTTTGGTACTAAGTGACCGAAAACACGAAGTGACTTGCTCGGATCTAGATTGAATCAGATTAGATTTGATTTAAC